TTAGTGTACACAGACACTGATCTCTAGGGGCCCCAGTTTGTTCCACCCTTGCTCTCTCGCAGACAGAGCATTCCTATACTTCAGCAGGGCCTGCTGCAAGGGCAGAGCAGTTCTGATGTGTTTGTCCACTCAGAAACCACAGAGCCCGACAACCTACCAAGAATATGTAGAAGGGAAGCCAGAGGAGGATTACACTGTACCTGGAAAACATTCAGCTACTGTCTTACCCCAAGTTTGCAATCCCTTTGTGTTGCTAGAATAGAGCAAAAGGAATTAATTAAAGGCTAAAAACCTAACCCACTATTATTAAATTCCAGAGGATGCGCTATTTTTAAGGTATATAAATGTTTGGCAGAAATTCTTAACAATCCTCTTTTAAAGGAATTTCTTTATGTAAGCTAGGTTTAAGAAGATGTCTTTGCAAACCCCAATAAAATGCAGGCTAGTTTCACATGGTCTCATACTTCCATTGAAGCACTGATGTCCAAATGGCAGCAGGTCCCAGAATAACTGAAAAAACCTTTTCCACATCTTTCCCCTACACTGAAATTAGATCTCAATGAAACATTATCAGTTCCAGTGCTATAAATTATTTACTGACTACATACACAATTAACATTTTAAATCAGTTTGACACACTTAAGGTTCTATAAACATTATTGTACGGTACAGGATTTCTCAATACTTTCGGGAGACAAGGCACAAGAAAGAAATCCAATGTGCGTTTTCATATTACAAAGTCATTATACAGAAGTCTGAAGCCAAAACCACAAATAAAACAAGAACACAAATCAAAATTCTGTACAACATTTTCAGACTGTACAACAGGATGACCACTTGGAATGAAAAAATATAAACAATTTTCTTTCTTTGTCTTCCACACAAACAATTCAGAAAACATGTTGGTTCATGTGTAACATACTGGATTTGCTAACATTTTGAGTAATGCAGGCAAGATTTGCAGACACCTGATCATCCAGCACTTCTCCGCAGATAAAGGTCTTCTGAAAAAAATCAAGAGTAACCTGGCTAAAAGTGACAGTTGGTCTACAACAAGGAAATACTTCAGTAAGATCAATGGAAGTTTCTCCTGTGTTTTAATTGGCATTGGATTAGGGTTCACAAATGTCCTCGTTGTTCATTAGCCTGACTCTATGGTGCTAGAGCTTGGGATGCCATCCAAGAGCACAGGCAGAGAGAAGTATTTGGATGTGCCACTTGTTTTTGCTGCAGGGTAAACACCCACACTCTCCACAGAGCAACACTGTTGTCACACGGGTTTGCTACATTCCCACAAAGCTTGGAAATCTGCCTGTTGATGCAGAAAATACAGTCGTTTCTAAACCCAACACAACAAGCTGCGGTTGAGAGTTAAGAGGAGTGGCTTGGACCTGCAACGGTTTTGGCTTCTCACACCTCTTGATAAGGGCCTGCGGCCTTTGTCTAACTGAGCCTTTGGAAACTTTTCAAAATCTTTGAGAAATTGTGAAAAGATGCCTCCGGGTGTTTGCATCACGGACGCTACGGCACACTGCCGCGTGCTCGCCCGGTCTCCCAGCTGCAGAGTACCTTCAGAGAGACCATTTTAAATGAGAACATTCACTATCGATACTGTGTCGGAAATGCCTGGGATGAGCAGTAGCACCACTACTGAGAAACAACTACTGGCAAGGATTTCAGTTTTGTGGCAAAAATCTTCCAAAAAATCAAAATAAGCTCCTAAGTCCTGATTATCTCTGCTTCAACAAGGTAAGGAGGCTACCAGCTGAGCCACATTTAACAGTTTTCTGTTAAAAAGAGTAAACTCCAGCATCAGAAGAGAAGGAGGAATAAAACAACACACACTACAGCAAAGGCAAGAAAACAGACCAAAACTTTTGGGCGGAGAAGTAGACGAAGGACCCAGCATCCTTGAAAGACATGCAATAGCCCCCAGAAGACTTTCAGGGGCATGAGAAAGGACGTGGTACAGTCAGGTATTGGCTCCTTCCCACAGAGCAGTAAATCCGTCTCTTTCCAAAGCCTGTTTAAGCGCCTTCAAAAAACATTGATTATTTGTCATATTTTATTTATCGTCATGGGATTAAGGACACATAAGAGTAACTCTCTGTACAAGCAGAGTTTCAACAGGGGAAAACTGGGAAAAGTAAAAGAGAAAGCCACATAAAATCTGATTATCTTTAGGAACTAGCTGGCAAGATAAAGGATTAAGCTATCAAGCAGCACTTCAGTTGGGCTGCTTTTTTAATTGCAAGGAGATTTCATTAGTAGAGGAAATCACAGTATAATGAGGCAACTTAAAATCATATTACAATGTTGAAGTCACGCGGTAATTAAAACTGGACAACATCCTTAGTAAAATCTTGGAAAACATCAGCCAGACACAGGCTGTCGACATTCATTTTTATTAACTCCATGATCTGTGGCAACTGATTCCAGCAGGTTTAGCTTTCATATTCTGCCAGATATTGAATAGGAGAGCTAATATTATTAATTATTTCTAAGTCTAAGGAATGAATTTCCATGAGTCCTAGCTAAGAAGTCATTCTTTTAAACAATATGCCAATAACTGGCATAATAGGGCTGAGTGGGGAGGAACAGCTTTTCCCATGTCCCTTTGTTTACAGGATTTCCATACATTGTGCCAAGATTTTTCCCTACGTTAAAGAAAACTCTGTTCTTTCACATCCTTCGTTTTCCTGCACACAGCTTTACTCTCCCATGCTGTGAAATTCCCTTTGAATCCTTGATACAGTCAAATCCAGTTTGCTGCACTCTGAATTTAAAAACAGCAGGTTTGTTTGCTTTTTTCCTGGGCACAGCAGCTTGTGGAAAGAAAACAGGAGAAGGTGAAGAACCAGCTCTTTGATTTGAGCCTGGCTTCTGCTAGCTTCATCTGATGGCCTCTAATTCTCGTATTAGAAAAGTGTGACAGTCAATCCCTATCCACCCTTCCCATGGTGCCCAAGGTTTTTCAGACTTCATTACAATCTCCCCTCAGCTGTCTCTTTTTCCAGCTGAAGAATTCTACTTTGCTCACTAAAAGTCATTTAAGTGCATTTGCACAATGTAAGATAAGCAACCTTGTTTCATCTAAAGTACTGATCACAGATTAATAAAGACTGTAATGATTGTATTTGAATTTCAAGCTTTCACCTATATGATGTTAGGATTTTATTTTCCAAGACACATAAAAGGTGCAAAGTATATCACAGGTCCAAAAGTTTGACTGGTATAATGCTGGTCTCGATTAGAACAAAGCTATTAATTTTCCGGAAGATATGAAAAAATGGTGGCCATTTATCTGTGCAAAGAAATATCCTATCATGGGCAATTATTAGCAAAATACTACCAAAAAAAAAAAAAAAAACCACAAAAGAAAATAAACAAACATGGGGAAAACACTTTAAAAATGCATAGATACTTAAATATTTTCACATCATTTCACATCATTCACATCTATGACTGTTTCGTTGTGCCCCCCATGGGTGATATATAGCACAATACAAAACAACATATCCTATGGATCAGCATAGAAGCTTTCCCCCTGTATCCTCAGCACAGATATAGTGTGAGTGCTTGCAAGGTCAGACTGCATACACTGCGCTGCGGCTGTATTTTAGCAGCACAGTCCATTGCAGTGTGGTACCCAGTCACACCAGTTTCCAAACCTGTTCCCTCACTCCTAGTTCTGATCTCAGTTGCTGCCTGCTGTGTTTCCCCAAGTCTCTAGTGTCGTTAACACCACTGTGATTTTAGCATGATTCTCGAATTGGTTTTAATCTTGAAGGTTATTAAAAAAACAGCTATTTTCATAGCATATATCCTCATTCAGTCACACACAGAGTTGACCCTATGTTAACAAGTGTTTTCCTCAATATCAAGAGCAAAATCACTTATCAGTAGGAAAGAATTAAAGTATTAAAGCTAATGGGTGCTGCATCCATTTATATCACTGGAGTATTTGATGTATAACTCTGAAGCTTTAGTAACCTTACTTTACTGTTATAAAATCATATGTACCTCTTTCTCATCTTACAGATTTGAATTTAAGAAACTGAACAACTGCCTCCAGTATTCTCAGCTATTCAGAAAATTCACAATTCTTGATAGGCTTCAGTAAGAAGGACCAAAGAAAAAGTTATTGAATAATTACTGTAATGCTTTAGACTTTACTGCCTGTGTGGATCTGCAGTCTAGCAGATATGCAATATGACATTTTGAGTCTCACAATAATTTCAAAGCAGTGAACCACCAGAAGGTCGCAATATATTCACTCAGTATTGTTTCACATTGATGAGCAGAGGTCCAACGCTCTCATTTCTTTGTGTACCCTTCTGCTGGTCCAGACTCATAACCTCTTCTGAAGAAATGGGAAAGGACGAAAAGGAGCAGGTGGCAAAAGCAACATGTTCAGTACTATCAAGTATCTTTTGTTTCTCAAAATTCTACCCAAGGCTAGAAGGTTAACTGAAACTAGAATCAATGACAAGAAGAATGAGGGGTACTTAACTGCTTATTGAAAGAGCAGTAACAAAATCCGCCTTCCCCCAAAGCTAAAAGAAACCAAGAGCAGTGATGAGGAGGGACCTGGATGACCCTCCCACCACTATGCAATTAGTGTATACATTTCTGGTATGGAAACGTCACCAGTGTTGGCTACAGGAGCAGCTATTATTCCCAGCACAGGAAATTCACGGCTTGCTTTTTTGCTTCTTACTGCTTGTATAACAACGGTCGTATTGCACAGATCCATCCAGGCAACGCATTAGACAAGACTGAATTCCTGTTATGAGACAGATAGGAAGACATTAAGAAAATAATCCTAATCTTTTTACAGCAGTAACTGATTTTACTTCCACTTCAAAAGACTACGGACACACAGGGAATCCTGCAGACCAGGAAAAAAACATTAGAAGATTAAAGTGACATTATCTTAAATAAAAAGTTTGGATAGGGGAATTTGAAGTGAGTTTGTCTTTAATAAAGACAAGAAGGGTAGGGGTGGAAATAATAATTTTAATTGCACTGTGCAATGGAATCATCCCAGGGAAAATGATATAGAAATGGTAAGAGAACAAAACCAAATAGCTCAATACTTTCGTTGAAACACTATTTTTTCATTCTACAGGTTCTAACTCAGAAGAGACAGTCTGACAGGCTCATAGAAGGCAATGGGTACTGGAAACAACTTATAACTTGCAGGAACATGTCTCTAAGGCATATCTCCATTTCTGCTGACACTGAGCAAAAATACTAGAACTCTTAATTAAAAACAGAGATTTAAACAAAAGTAGCTTTATACTGATTCTCAGTGCCCTTATTCTTCTCACTCTTGAGAGCAATCAGAGGTGGAAGGTCTGATGTCCTATAAACTCCAGTCCTCATCCTCCCTTGGCAAGATCTCAGTTCAGAGATGTAACCTTCAAAGCTGAGGTTCCCTTCAGAATCGTCACAGGAGCGTGTGCCAGTGTGTTCCAGTTTGACTCCGTCCACATCAATTATCCTGTTCACAGGGAGCTCCGTACCGGGGTTCTCTCTCACACCAGGAGGATTAAAGCTTCTGCTGGTCTTCGCTTTGTGAGAGGTTTGCTCACAAGAGTTTCCTGAAGTCCCCTGTGAATCTTTTTTCTTCCTGTGGTTTGCACCTAATAGAAGAATTAAAAACAAAAAACACAAAACAGGAGAGTTATGTATCTTCTGGTTTTAGCAATTTTCAATATTACAACCTCCTCTAAAGTTCTAATGATAGCTGGGATATTCCTCTGCCCCATCAAGGAGACTTAGTGATGTACCAAGCAGGTAACTAAACAGTAGATCTCCAACATTAATATAAAATGTTAATATGTATCTGTCTTAATTCAGCATTTTTCAGAGTTTTTAAAAAGACTCCATTAGAAATAACTACTTAGTATAAATTCGTACACCTGTAGAACAAAAGCTGTCACACCAGCAAACCCAAAGGTGAAGGAGGAGAATACAGAACTTCCACTGGGGAAGAACAGGAGAGGTTCCTTGACTTGAACTGGCCTCCAATACCAGATCCCTGCTGAGATATTATTTTTACTTGGCTAAAGTTTAATCCTCTAGCAGACTAAGAAAGGATGATTTGAAGTTGCAGTTCACTGTCCTGAACTGCAACTGAGCAATCATGGGCCACAGTTTACGGACAAAAAGAAAGAACTTAATCTGCTGAAGGGCTTTGAACATTCAAGAAACACCTGAGTTATATGTGATTTTTTTTGACCTTGAAGTTTCTTTTTGGTACAGCCCTTCTAAAATCACAATTGTTAGGATTCAGGCCTATTCTCTAGAACCACTCATACAAAGTCATTACTATCCCAAATTAGTCCTAGATTAAAACTTTCAGTTCCCAAAAGCTAGTTTTGCATTTGGTGTGACACTGCAAACTGCTAGGCACTTGTTAAAGCAAATGCAGATAAAGCTGGTTTGCATGTTTCAACAGGCAACAAGAAGGGAAGGATGAAGAATGAGTTGATTTCACGATTTGCACCATGGTTATTAACATGATTTCCGTAGTTGAGGTGCCCCCACCATAATGATATTAAAAGGGGCAAAATTTGCAGGGAGGGAGAACTGCTTTTATTAGACCAACTGATATCCAAGAAAAAAATAGAAAAACTCTCAAGGCACAAAGGCAAACCTGAGTAATGACTTTTAGTTTCTTTTTTTCATGTATACCAGCTGGTCTTTTTTAAAAGATACTGTCTTGTCCAACATGCCTGACCTAAACCATTTTAAACTTCTTGCTGCAGTACACGCAAGTGTCTGACCAGCACATTTAGCCACACAAATCCCATGAGACTTGTGTGGTTAAATCCCATAGCTGGCTTTGAAATCTTTTATTTGTGTTCGTTCCACAAAGTGATGTGTACAGTGTTTTTTGTCAAGAAAAATAAATTTCAATGTATAATCATCGTAATCAAGAACTTTTTGATATGAATAGGGGAAAAATGCAAATGAAAAGGACAAAAAAAGCAATTTCGTACTGTTTCAATCTAATCACTCCAGGGTCTTGTCAAGGGTTAAAGCTTTCTATTTAATGGAAGTAAGTTAAAATTCTAAGTAGTGCAATATTATTTTAGTGCTTTAGCTATAGTGCAGCCCCACATTAATAACGTGCCACATCAGTAATGTTTGCCTTTTTTCACATCCAGAGGAATTAGCTCAAACTCCAAACATATCAGCTGAGCAACAGCAGAGAGAAGGCAGAAAGCTTTCGCAGCCCTGTTAGCCCAGCACGACTCCAGCCTACTAAATTACCGCTAACATTTAATGGGACTATATTACGCTTCATGTTTACACCTTCCTACTGCAGCTGAACATTGGCTTAATTTTCACTGCTGTTGGCATGGCTGTGGTGTAAAATCTATTAATCTTTTCTAAAATGTTTATCTTAACATGAATGTATTGAATTGTACTCTTGATCTTTTTAATCTACTATTCCATGCCCCGTGAGGAAGATCTCTGATTCTCCTTTCATGTTGGTTTAAAAGAGATAACTAATGTCAAAAAAGCCATACTAATGATAAATGACACCAAATAGTTTGCATTGACAGAGCATGAGTCATCCAGTTGTCCTGGTATTGAGAATACATCCTTCTACTAAATGTAATGTAAAGAAACAAACTTTGATGGTGGTGTAAGGTCTCATAGCTCTGCTGACTTGAACTAAGCTCAAACACTTTGCACAGTCAGGAGATACAGCCTGCATTAACAGGGTACAACAGATGAAAGAGCTGGAAACTCCTGCTGAGGAACGCTATGGCAGGTGTAAGTGTTGCTGTATTTATTTGATTGTGGAGTCTTTCTACAGCTACATATAAGAAATGCCATTAAGTCTTGGAATTATGGTGTTACTGAGTCACCACAGGGAGCAACCGGGCTTGCAAGTTGTCTAGTATGAACAAAAGCAAAAATGAGGTCAATGTTAGCTCTCGGGCTTCACAAGACATAAGGCCATCTGAAGAGGAATAAATCCATACTATGGGCGGTATTTTCTATTAATGCCCTTCTCCGGAGCAATCCCTCTGAAGCATCTAATAAATTACTACCAGAGGCAGGACAGTAACAGAGCAGGTCTCATCTAAAATACTGGTTCAAAAGAATAGGGAATTACTAAGCGATGATACTGTGAAGATGATTTCTCTTTTCCTGGCAGGGTAGAAAAGATCTTGGCTCATCGACACCAAATAGGAAGATTATTTCAAGAGCAGCACTGCACTGAAAAAATATTTTAATGTGCTTTTTTTCCTCATTTTTAAAAACAAAGCATTTATGAAGCAAGGCTATTTAGCACATGTAATAGGAGAGATTCCCCAAAGCTGTTTGTGTATAAATGTATATGTTTTAAAATAGATGCAAGATTTGCATGTACTCAGTGGAGCTTTATAATGAGGCTTAAATGATGCCTACAACACTTCTGCACTAGTCTCCTTCTCATATTCTGAGTAACAAATACCTGAGCAAACTTAGCCATGCAGAGCACCATCAGAGAGCTGCAGAGAGCTTTCACAGATAAAATTTCTCTTCACATATTCTTGCACTGAAGTGATGAAAACCTCCAGGGGTATCTCTGTGGATTGCTTTGCCTCGCATAAAGCATGTCAGGAATGATATTATATTTTCCTGAACCTGATCTGTCAAATGTCCTACCTAACTTCAGAAGGGAAAGGAAGCCAGTGCTTAGAGCAGTAGTCGCACGGATTAATTTCCAAACAGACTGGAATAGCATAATCATGCCTATTGGTAATCTTCAGCTCCCCTGCTAAGCATTCCATGCAGCTCCAAGGGAATTTTCTTGTGCATGTGATCCCATTAATAAATTCCAGCTGGTTTAAAGACGGGATGATGCATGTTGTCTTCTGTCTTTAAACTGGAGATCTGCTATCTTACAGACTCGCAGCTCAATGACTGCTTAGAAGGCTAGGTGTACCGGTCTGCATTTTTCAACAGGTAAACAATCAGGCAGTGTTTTGGCTGATCTCCTGATTTCCTTTACCAATACTGCTCTTTTTCTGAAATTTCGATTTTGTGTATTATTCTCAAGCTCTCTGAATGTAACATTATGATTACAGAAAAGTGTCTTTGCACAGGAAGACAAAGGGAATTTTTGTTCTTCTGCATAAAATATTCCTCAAGCTCTAAGCAAGATATTGGAAGACATTGTCTTCCAAGTAGTTTAGGACCAAGAGAACATTTGGCCAAATTCCAGGCAGAGACAATGTTACAAAAAAACTGGAAATTTCAGGAACAGCACTGTCAAATGTAAATGACAGGATCAAATAACTGTAACTCCATGCAGATGTTTGGGATTTAAAGGTCCACCACAACATCTTGCAATGATACTATTTCTCTACCATAATTATTAGATCCATTTATTTTCAATGTGCTAATTTTAGTTATAATTCCCTTGTTAAAGCATAATTTAGATCGGATCTGAAATTCAGCACCTTTATTTTTCAGTGATCAATACTCGATATAGTTCCATTTACACCGTATTTATCTTTTTTTATAAAAGCAAGTAGACATTTATTAAGTTTCACTGTAAGAGATGAGCTCTCTATTTGAAAGTCCATACTTAGTGGATTTCATATATGACAGGATGTTAAATTCTATTTATGTGGGAGATTGGGCAGATACCCTTCTCATCTCTGATTCCATACAGCAACCTGTCCTAAGGTGATAACATGCTGGCTGAGAGAGCATTTTTTTACATGAAACTACAAAAAAGGAGCTTTGCGATGGTCCCTTCTGCAGTCGTGTTCACTTTGATGTCCTGGAAATATCCGAGTATGAGTAACTCTTTTGCTTTAAGATGCATGAAATCTGGCAGTTTCACTCTGGGAAAGACACTTCTCCGTTCCTGTCCTAAACTGTTGTGAAATAGTACTTCAAAATTTTAGGCTTCCCAGATGTGGATTCTTTTAAGTGGTGGATAAATTACTTCCACACTGGCTGATGTACTGTTAGTACTGTAACCAATTATTTTTTCTTAGGTTTGCAAAGTGATTTATGCTTCCGAAGGGAAAAGGAGGATTTAGAATTCTGCAGGTTAAATTCCCTTCAAAAGTTTCCTTCCTTTTATGTCTTAACTGATACAACACCGAGGAGAAAGAGGATTTAATAAAAGGTTCCTACCTACAGTTTATGCTAAATCTTTTCAAAGGAAATTTGACTTTATATGCTGTATTTCACTTGCATGATGAAACTGCAGCATATGCTCAGGGCCTTGAAATCTGACTCAATAACCATGAGGGCATCAAGCTAGGAAATGGATTATTCTCCAAAGCAGCAAAACTCTGCATTATTGGGCTATTTACTTTTGTCCTGGGAATTTCTGGAATACATTTGCAGCATGAAACACGGGGCGGATAGAAATTCTTTCATTGCACTCATCTCAAAAGCATTCGCAAGAAGAACAAAGCACGGAGCATTACTTGGAAAGACAAATTCTGAGTATTACATGGAAGAGGGAGCTGGTATGACTACTACTGCTCGCCAGTGGCAAATAAAATCAAAAAAGGAAACACTGCAAACTGTGTTTGCTGAGGACAGTGACTTTTTATACAGAGGGCTACAACAGCTGCTGAAGGGAACTGTGCACGACATCATTTAAAAGCCAGAA